CAGCCACCAGGCAAAAGTTTTATTTGATTAGATATGCTCAAATATGAAACAAACTACCAACGAAAATACGGTTAGCAAGCACATTGGCTTCTTTTGAAAAGGTACTTAGTGACACACTAAGAGAGTTTGGAAGTGACACTAGTGTCAATTCCCATGTAAGAGCTTCAGAAGTCCTAGGCTCATTTAATGTACGAACTTAGAGACCAAGCCTGTTGTTTGTTTTGCCTCTATTTATAACATCAAATAAAAAGCAGCAGTCATAACAGAAGCCTTCAGGCAAATACGAGTTGCTTGTTTAATGTCTACCTGATAAAAAGATTGAAGCAAAACAGGTGTACGAATGAGGTATAGGAAAATCAGGGTAGAACTTGCCACGAAATCAGGTGGAAAGATACGAGTTTCCTGGACATTACATATACTTCAACAACTAATCTACCCTTTAAATGGACTGCGGTGATATTTTATTCATAGTGACGGGGAATTACATAAATCCACAATTCCCGCTAGTACAACTCAAACTCTTCAACCTACTTAGCATCAAGTATGTGCTCAGTGGTGATAGAAGTCCGCAAAATGATGTATTTAGAGCAAACGTGTACTTCCAAAGATCACAGAGACACATCGTGAACGATATCTAAATCACGGAATAGTCAAACCCCAAATGAAATGGAATTAACTAAATCAGAACTCCGAAAATGCTGTAGTTACATCTGGATATTCATCCATACGCGGATCAAGCCTGCAAATCCAAGTAACTACATGTACAGCACAAAATAATCGGGATATCTAAAAAACAATGAAAGTATGCTGACGGCTGCAATTTGAATATCGCTGAGGAATTTGATGGTAGTGTTCTGCTCCTGCATGCCTCATCCATCATTTTATATGAAATAGTCCGCGGTCATTCTGGTTCCTGGTCGAAATCCATTATAAAACTCACCGGTTGCTGATTATGGTGATTCAAAAACACAAAGGGCCCACGGAGAGGCTGAGCACTCGAAGGTCATTTACACCCACTGTGATTGGTGGACTTTCCTTTGCTTGAACGTTCCGGCTAATATATGTTGTACATTACTGAGGTGGGCTTTGAGATGGCAAAATAACGAGTAGACATTATATTTTTAGCTTGAGGGGGCAAGTTAACATACGCATAAATTTCACAGATGTGATAAGCACTGGATCCACTTACAAGAAGAATATTACTGGCTGACTTGATAAAAGAATTATAAAGTTTGAAGATTTGGTCACTTTCAGCTGGTTGAAACGAATGGATATAAAGTCACTCGCATGATATTTGCTTCTTACAGAAGAGAATGTGTGAGAGATATTCCGGAAGTTCTACAGTTCTTCAAATTTGTCGTGAAATATGTGGACGACTACGTAGAATTTCACCAACTCTATGATGATTAAATTAATGTCAGTAAAACTTTTGAGCATTTCGGAATAGATCAAATAAAGTATAATTATATTATAATAGTTTACATACAATAATAAGTTTTGTTATTGGTAATATTTCGGGCAAAATTACTGCCCGTGTTCACACCACCCGAATTAAAAGACAACAATTCCAAAACTGTTGTGAACATGGGGAGTAATTTTGCTCGAAATATTACCAACGACAAAACTTATGATTGTGTGAACTATTGAAATACAATTAAAGTGGTCTGGAATACCATGAGCGATGCGAAAGACTAAGATTAGAACCCCTCTGGAAAAGACGCCTTAAGCTAAACCTTATCTTTTACTACAAGCTAACTAATCTTCTCTTGCATTCCTCCGAGCCAATAACTAAACCTGCCGCTGTCATCAGTTACAATCTTAGAAATCATCACAACCTAGCTGCTATGGAGCACTGTTAGACTTACGTGCGGTACAACTTCTTCTTAAATAAGTTTTCAGTCATTTGGAATAGACTACCAGCTAATGTGCGCGATGCAAACACACTTCCAGTGTTCATCTCCTCAGTCACCAGACTACTCAAAGATGACAATGCACTTTTGCACCTGACTCTTACACCTTCTTTTTCACCATACATAGATATTTTAAGTTCTTTAAACGTTTAGTTACAACAAACTACAATTATAAATTTTAATATTATTGGAACTAGATGATAAACATTTCTACACAGGACAGTAATGATATTAGTTTACACATAATATAAAAGTTAGCGTAACGGGACTAGTTAGTTTGTGTACCAAAATAACCACAGTTACTAAACAGAATATATATGTATATATTTATTAATCACTCCTTAAGGACTCCCGTTGCTTTCTTTTGCGTTGCTGTTGTTTGTCTTCTTTTTTCTCTCACCATTTCAGCTTCCATTTGACTTTTTGAATGAGAATGAATAATGTGGATATTTGACCATTTACAATGACAAATGATCTGCAAACATTATTGGTCCAGTATCTTTCAGTTGCCTGGTTAATAACGAATTAACTTTCTCCACGACGCAGCCTGGATTACATTTGTGGAATATACTCTTATACCAATGGAAAAGTATCAATTTGTAGTACAACATCACGATTGTAGCTTATAACATAACTGATCGTATCTGTAAAAATAGCTTCCTTATTACCCAATTTGGATATAAATCAAATCAAAAATAAGATTCGGATTTGTACACACCCAAGTTATATTGAGGAATTACTTCAAGCTTTATTTTTTCCCAAGTATTTTTAATCCATCCAAAACTTACTTGGGGTTTTTTGTTAATGCGAAGTTAATATTCCAATATTTCATGACGTGCTCCATTGAATGACTGGTTATCATATTGTTCCCACAGACCTAAGACAAAAACGCCAGCAACCATGTAACTTAACCATAAACCAAATTTATGAAATTTATATAATGCTTATCCATGCCTGTATATTTGGTGTGTCCTACACAAGTAGGAAAAAAGTGTATTTTATTAAAACATTATTATTAATTATAATTGCTAATCGTATATGTAATTTATCATATTGATGATGCCTGTAAACTGGCGTCTCTCATGTACAAAATGAGAATATACTATTATTATTATTATTATATAGATTTACATGAAAATGCATACCATTTTTACAGGCACGATCAAATATGATATAATATCAAATTGTAGTTTGTCTACAAGTTAATAATGTTTCAACAGCTAAATATTTGATATATATATATAAGTACACTCACTGTCTGAACTAGGCCGTATAGTTATTGACTTTACAGTTGTCCTCCAGGTTGCGCGGGAAAACCGACTTCGTTTCGTTTTCATCCCGTGGTTGTAGGCATACGATAACCAACCAATGTTGAGGTAAGTACAACGTTTACAAAGGATTGAAAGCTGTTTTAGAAAAGTTGAAGTGCTAAGGTGAATCATCAAAGTGTAATGGAATAAGTAAGTGCAGTATATCATTAATAAATGCGTTTATAGAGGAAATACTATGGGAAACTAATTAAACTCTGGGCTGACAACGTTCACTTGCAATGTATAATGCTACCCATATACTTCGTACTATCATGATGTCCACTTTCGGCTTTAATACAATTATTCTCAGGCCGGTTGTTTTTATTTCATAACTTCTTGCCTATTTGGTGCACAACCGTACCCTACAGGGAATAGGAATAGAATAAGTCGAATCAAATTCATAAAGAGCTATGAAATGTTAGGTTTAATGGAATAAAATGAGGATCAGGTAAAGACGTTATTAGAAAATGAATGAGATAAGGCATTGTGAAGTGGTATAAAGATCCGACAATGGATAGGAAGTTAATTTATAAGATGCCCCATAAATCTGTGCAGAGCCCACGTGGTCGCATTTCAACAATAGGCTGAAGGATAAGAAGGATAAATCTGAAAGAGACCAAATCTTCAAACTTTATAATTCTTTTATCAAGTCAGCCAGTAATATTCTTCTTGTAAGTGGATCCAGTGCTTATCACATCTGTGAAATTTATGCGTATGTTAACTTGCCCCCTCAAGCTAAAAATATAATGTCTACTCGTTATTTTGCCATCTCAAAGCCCACCTCAGTAATGTACAACATATATTAGCCGGAACGTTCAAGCAAAGGAAAGTCCACCAATCACAGTGGGTGTAAATGACCTTCGAGTGCTCAGCCTCTCCGTGGGCCCTTTGTGTTTTTGAATCACCATAATCAGCAACCGGTGAGTTTTATAATGGATTTCGACCAGGAACCAGAATGACCGCGGACTATTTCATATAAAATGATGGATGAGGCATGCAGGAGCAGAACACTACCATCAAATTCCTCAGCGATATTCAAATTGCAGCCGTCAGCATACTTTCATTGTTTTTTAGATATCCCGATTATTTTGTGCTGTACATGTAGTTACTTGGATTTGCAGGCTTGATCCGCGTATGGATGAATATCCAGATGTAACTACAGCATTTTCGGAGTTCTGATTTAGTTAATTCCATTTCATTTGGGGTTTGACTATTCCGTGATTTAGATATCGTTCACGATGTGTCTCTGTGATCTTTGGAAGTACACGTTCGAAATTGGTGACATTTTTGCACGTGTTTGCTCTGAAATTTATTTACTGCTTATTGTCATATAATTCTTGAAATTATGGTCCAAATCTCTAAAAAACGTGTTCGTAGAAACACAATTGTTTTAGATAGTGGCTTAAATTCGGTTATAACTGCATTACCGCCTGGTAATACAGTATCAACTACTAGCTCTCAAAATGGTTTGAGTGCAGATCTCACTCCTGTGATACAGGTGAAAGATGTTCTGTTAGAGAACTCTGAGTTCTGTAAACTAAACCTCCTTTTGAAAGATATGCAGAGGCAAGTAAGTGAAATTCAGAAAAAATTAGATCAGTTTGATAGTATGTCACTGCCAATCTCAAATACCACGGAGAGCCGGTCTGATATTGGCCAGGTTAAGTGTTTACTGGATGTAACTCAAAATAAGCTTTTGAATTTAGACCCAATAGCCTGTCTTTTAGAAAGGCATCCTAAAATATCTCCAGACAACCTAAATAAAGCTGAAAATCTGATTGACTGCTTGGCTACGGAGGTGATGAAGCGTATAACCTCTTCTCACCAAGCTATAGTTTACAACGTCCCAGATTCTCTGCCCCTGAAAACTGTAAGACACAAAATCCTGATTTGTTGCGGCATGGCTAGTGTTCCATGTGAATGCAAACGACTTCGTAAAAAGTCTAACCAGGCTAATTGCCCAATCATTTTTAAATTCAGTAATTCCCTTGATGCTAGTAAGTTTACTAAATGTCAGGATCACTTAAGACTGAATAGCAGTTATAAGTCTATAACCGTAGCTCAGGATAAAACACCGTGTCAGCGCAGAATAATGCGTAGTAATAACCTGGTCACCTCCTCTAGCTTTGATTTACCAAATAAGGATCGTGCACAGCAACAGACACCTAGTGCTGAAACTAGCATTCAGCAAACTACACAACAACCACACCTGCCAATGGAACTAGGAACTGATTTAGATACCAGTACCCCTGTAAATAAAGCCTCATCGAAAGATGTTAAAATGACTAGAACTTCTGCAAGTTGTTCTAAGAAATTTCCCCCCAAACGTAGTAACCTCACCACGATGAACAAATTTCGCAGGGTTGAGACTAATGATGGGGAAGAATACTTTGTATTCAATAAGCCTGCTGAGAGTAAGAATGCCAACAAACCATCACTTGTTACGAAAAACTCCTCTCGAAACATAAGTACATCTGGAGGTGTTCCGCATGCTCCACCTTATAGAAAGTCAGGCTCCAAGACTCCTAAAGTCTTGCAGCCAAAGCACCTTCCTTCACAATTCCCTTTAAGTTATAAAAACAACCCGAAGGTGTATACCGGTATGACGAATAGCAGTTGGATGGGTAGACCTTCTGATGCTATGCCTTTTAACCGTCAACCTAGGCCCAACCTGTACTACCCTTATATCCAGGAACACATGGTAAATTTTCCAGGTGTCCCGAATCACTGGTACGACCCATGGCACCTAGGACCACCTCATTGCACTCCAACCCGATGTACAGACACCCAGTCCGACCTCCTTTTCATTCATAAATTCTTGCGGTGCTGACGCACAAATAGATTTAGGTTATGGTGACATTTTAAGCCAGTTTGTAGTATCCCGTGACTTATTCACGATATTGCTAATTAATGCACGTTCCTTAATCAATAAGATATCTGAACTAAGGACATTATTATTAGTCGCCAAGCCTACTGTAGCTCTGATTACTGAGTCATGGTGCTCATCCTCTGTACTTGATGTGCATATAGGTATCGATGATTACACTGTACACCGTGCAAACAGAGATTGCAAGCGTGGTGGAGGATGTCTCATATATATACATAGCTCATTTGTAGTCAGTAAGGTGGAAGATGAAACAATGAATAATGTACCTGACTCACTCTGGGTTGTCTTACATGGAGATAAGTACAAACTTCTCATAGGCTGTGTTTATCGAGCACCAAGCTCAACAAAAGAAACTGATGCGTTATTAGCTAAATCGTTTGCACACGCATCCTCGTTTAGTGCTAATTACAAAATAATTGCAGGGGACTTCAATCTTCCAGAAGTCAATTGGCTAACTAGTTCCGGCCCCCAACGCTTCGACGAATTACTTGCCACTATAGACTGTTATGGATGGCAACAACACGTCCAGACACCTACTCGTGGTGACAACATGTTGGACCTTGTTTTTTGTCATGACACAATCCCAGTATCCACGTATGTTGGTAATCGATTTTCCAGTAGTGACCATAGAATGGTACTCTGCTCTCTGCCTTTCTCACCACTAAATACAGGAAACAAACAAGACTCAGGAAGCACAATATGTCGTAGTTACAAATATACAGACTGGGGATTAGTCCAAGAACTTATTCGACTCTGTCAATGGGATGACTATTTTACCACTGACTCCCTGGAGGCCTTAGTAACCCTGTTTTACAGGAATGTTACCCTTTGTCTAGATACAGTTGCTCCAAAGAAAATAGTGAAATTAAGTAGACACCGAACTGAATATATTCCAAGGGCACACCGTAATAAGTTAAGGAAGCTGAAGAAACAGTACTATTCCACTAAGGACATATCACTATTGCTCTCAATCCACGAGTCTCTTGAATCTCTCAAGCGCCTACGCTCTCAAAAGGACCTCGACGAAGAGTTAACGGCACTTGAAAGTACCTCCAAAGTTTATAACTTAACGGCACTTCTTAAAAAACGAATGCAGTCGGCGAGGGAAATCCCATACTTACTTCACGACAAAGTAATCTACAATGAACCTGCCACTATCTGTGAACTTTTCAGTGATTGGTTTGCAAACTTTAGTTTAGAAACACATATGCCTGGTGAAACCGCTCCCCTTACTATCTCTTCCCTTGAAAGCATTGTGTTCACTAATCAGTTAATAGTACAAGCAATTAAAAGCCTTAAACCTTCCACTAGTACGGGACCGGATGGCCTCGCTTCGATAATTTTCAAAAACAGTGGGTGTGATATACCCTTGTTACTTCTTAAATTCTTCTCAATATCTATGGACACTGGCACTTACCCTAGTGAGTGGAAAACTAGCTTCATAATTCCACATTACAAATCTGGTGATAGGGCAAACGTCCGCAATTACAGACCCATAAATATAACCCCAGTTATCTCACGAATCATGGAGAAAGTTGTAAAAGATCAATTGTCAGACTACCTAATTAGGGAAGATCTTGTTACAAGGTCTCAACACGGATTTCTCAAAAATAGATCCTGCGTTACTTGCCACTTCGACTTTTTCAACTGCATCACTAGTAGTCGCGAAGCACGTAAGCTAGTCGTTGTTCTCTACTTCGATATATCTAGGGCATTTGACATGGTATCTCACAGTATTCTCTTTGAGAAGCTGTACTCTTGTGGAATTCGCAACCCATTACTGAACTGGTTAAAATCATTTCTAAGCAACAGGGTACAAATAACCAAAGTTGGATCTGTATTGTCTCATCCTAGGCAGATCTCAAGTGGGGTCGTGCAAGGTAGTGTCCTAGGTCCACTTTTATTCACAGTCTACATTAACAGCATTTGCAAGTGCTTCACCTTAGGCAAACCATTCCTATATGCTGACGACCTCAAAGTCGTCTACTCCTGCTACACTCATGAATTAAGCGATATGGTTACTAAAATACATCTTGAACTAAGTAGCCTTGCAACGTGGTGTGCTGAATCCTGTCTAAATTTTAACATTGACAAATGCGGCTGGATTTGTATTGGCAACAGTAACCTTGATCTAACTCTTGAAATAAATGGGCGAAAACTAGCTAAGCTCAACTCAGTCGTAGATCTCGGTATTAGATACTCTAGTAACCTAACGTTCGCTGAACAGACTGATTATGCCAGACGTAAAACGCGAAGGCTGATAGGATGCATAACACGCAATTTCTTTTGTTGTGAAACTAGGGTTTTATTATACAAAGTATGTGTCCGACCTATCTTAGAATACTGCCCGTTTATTCTTAGCGGACTAAGACAAAATGACAAGCTTAAATTAGAGGGAGTGCAACGGCAGTTTACCTCAAGAACTCTTGGTTTAGAAAGTGGTCTGGAATACCATGAGCGATGCGAAAGACTAAGATTAGAACCCCTCTGGAAAAGACGCCTTAAGCTAAACCTTATCTTTTACTACAAGCTAACTAATCTTCTCTTGCATTCCTCCGAGCCAATAACTAAACCTACCGCTGTCATCAGTTACAATCTTAGAAATCATCACAACCTAGCTGCTATGGAGCACTGTCAGACTTACGTGCGGTACAACTTCTTCTTAAATAAGTTTTCAGTCATTTGGAATAGACTACCAGCTAATGTGCGCGATGCAAACACACTTCCAGTGTTCATCTCCTCAGTCACCAGACTACTCAAAGATGACAATGCACTTTTGCGCCTGACTCTTACACCTTCTTTTTCACCCTACATAGATATTTTAAGTTCTTTAAACGTGTAGTTACAACAAACTACAATTATAAATTTTAATATTATTGGAACTAGATGATTAACATTTCTACACAGGACAGTAATATTAGTTTACACATAATATAAAAGTTAGCATAACGGGACTAGTTAGTTTGTGTACCAAAATAACCACAGTTACTAAACAGAATATATATGTATATATTTATTAATCACTCCTTAAGGACTCCCGTTGCTTTCTTTTGCGTTGCTGTTGTTTGTCTTCTTTTTTCTCTCACCATTTCAGCTTCCATTTGACTTTTTGAATGAGAATGAATAATGTGGATATTTGACCATTTACAATGACAAATGATCTGCAAACATTATTGGTCCCGTATCTTTCAGTTGCCTGGTTAATAACGAATTAACTTTCTCCACGACGCAACCTGGATTACATTTGTGGAATATACTCTTATACCAATGGAAAAGTATCAATTTGTAATACAACGTCACGATTGTAGCTTATAACATAACTGATCGTATCTGTAAAAATAGCTTCCTTATTACCCAATTTGGATATAAATCAAATCAAAAATAAGATTCGGATTTGTACACACCCAAGTTATATTGAGGAATTACTTCAAGCTTTATTTTTTCCCAAGTATTTTTAATCCATCCAAAACTTACTTGGGTTTTTTTGTTAATGCGAAGTTAATATTCCTATATTTCATGACGTGCTCCATTGAATGACTGGTTATCATATTGTTCCCACAGACCTAAGACAAAAACGCCAGCAACCATGTAACTTAACCATAAACCAAATTTATGAAATTTATATAATGCTTATCCATGCCTGTATATTTGGTGTGTCCTACACAAGTAGGAAAAAATGTGTATTTTATTAAAACATTATTATTAATTATGATTGCTAATCGTATATGTAATTTATCATATTGATGATGCCTGTAAACTGGCGTCTCTCATGTACAAAATGAGAATATACTATTATTATTATTATTATTATATAGATTTACATGAAAATGCATACCATTTTTACAGGCACGATCAAATATGATATAATATCAAATTGTAGTTTGTCTACAAGTTAATAATGTTTCAACAGCTAAATATTTGATATATATATATAAGTACACTCACTGTCTGAACTAGGCCGTATAGTTATTGACTTTACAGTTGTCCTCCAGGTTGCGCGGGAAAACCGACTTCGTTTCGTTTTCATCCCGTGGTTGTAGGCATACGATAACCAACCAATGTTGAGGTAAGTACAACGTTTACAAAGGATTGAAAGCTGTTTTAGAAAAGTTGAAGTGCTAAGGTGAATCATCAAAGTGTAATGGAATAAGTAAGTGCAGTATATCATTAATAAATGCGTTTATAGAGGAAATACTATGGGAAACTAATTAAACTCTGGGCTGACAACGTTCACTTGCAATGTATAATGCTACCCATATACTTCGTACTATCATGATGTCCACTTTCGGCTTTAATACAATTATTCTCAGGCCGGTTGTTTTTATTTCATAACTTCTTGCCTATTTGGTGCACAACCGTACCCTACAGGGAATAGGAATAGAATAAGTCGAATCAAATTCATAAAGAGCTATGAAATGTTAGGTTTAATGGAATAAAATGAGGATCAGGTAAAGACGTTATTAGAAAATGAATGAGATAAGGCATTGTGAAGTGGTATAAAGATCCGACAATGGATAGGAAGTTAATTTATAAGATGCCCCATAAATCTGTGCAGAGCCCACGTGGTCGCATTTCAACAATAGGCTGAAGGATAAGAAGGATAAATCTGAAAGAGACCAAATCTTCAAACTTTATAATTCTTTTATCAAGTCAGCCAGTAATATTCTTCTTGTAAGTGGATCCAGTGCTTATCACATCTGTGAAATTTATGCGTATGTTAACTTGCCCCCTCAAGCTAAAAATATAATGTCTACTCGTTATTTTGCCATCTCAAAGCCCACCTCAGTAATGTACAACATATATTAGCCGGAACGTTCAAGCAAAGGAAAGTCCACCAATCACAGTGGGTGTAAATGACCTTCGAGTGCTCAGCCTCTCCGTGGGCCCTTTGTGTTTTTGAATCACCATAATCAGCAACCGGTGAGTTTTATAATGGATTTCGACCAGGAACCAGAATGACCGCGGACTATTTCATATAAAATGATGGATGAGGCATGCAGGAGCAGAACACTACCATCAAATTCCTCAGCGATATTCAAATTGCAGCCGTCAGCATACTTTCATTGTTTTTTAGATATCCCGATTATTTTGTGCTGTACATGTAGTTACTTGGATTTGCAGGCTTGATCCGCGTATGGATGAATATCC